ACATATTTCACACCTGTGACCTTGAAAGTAGGTCAAACTAATTTTCATTCTCAAACTTTGTTAGGCTCTATCCCAGGAAGCCACCAGCCAAATATAAAGATTCTATACCTTTCAGTTCTTCAGAAGAAGTCGTTTGAAGTGTTTGACACATTTGACTCCTGTGGCCTTGAAAGTAGGTCAAGGTCATTTTCATTCTCAAACTTTGTTGGGCTCCATCTCAGAAAGCCATCAGCCAAAAATGATGATTCTATACCTTTTAATTCTTCAGAAGTCGTTTGAAGTTTTTGACATATTTGACCTCTGTGATCTTGAAAGTAGGTCATTTTAGTTCTCAAACTTTGTCGGGCTCCTACCAACAAAGCTTTCAGCCAAATATCATTACTCTAGGCCTGTCTGTTCTTCAGAAGAAGTTGTTTAAAGGAAAAGTTGACTGACGTGGACGGACGGACAGACGGACGGACAGCGAACGGACGACGGACGCCGCACCATGACATAAACTCACTTGCCCTTCGGGCAGGTGAGCTAATAAAGCAGTGCGCTCTGGCCACACAACAAACATATTTCTGTCAAAATGTCTAAGTCTGGTGTCGGGCCAGAGGAAACTCAGGCTAGACAGCCATACTGTGTCATCTGAGATGGAAGCCCCTAGCAGTAAGAAAAGCCAGGGCAACGTTGTTATTCAACATCATAAACAACATTGTGGAAGTGGAGTTCAGCCATAAGATCAGGCAGGCAAATGTAAGGACCTGTGGAGCCACCAGCGGCAGCTTGAAGCAAATCCCGGTCAAGACTGACATTTACCAGAAGTCCTTTCTTCCAAAAACCATCATAGAACCACATTCTCAGTAACAACAAGATTGCCCCTTCAGTGGAATCCTTCCAGTCCTCATTACGACCCAGAGGACCTTTCAGGAAGGTCATCTGGACCTTCAGGACCTCCCTTATAAAGAAAGGGTGAAGAAGATAAAATTACCAACATTAGCATACCGTCGCATTAGAGGTGGCATGATAGAAACGTACAAGATAGTAAGTGGGATATACGATAAAGATCAACATATATTCAAGAACAGACTGGACAAGGCCTGGAATAAACAGGAGCTATTGTTCAATTACAGAGCGGATATTAGAACAAGCTAGGTTATATGGAAGTGACAGACCAACCCTGGTATTAATTACGAGTCCGGTGTAGAGAAACTATAAAGTTCCTGTACTGGAAATCAACTACAAGTAACTATAAGTAAGTAAGGAAGACACCACTAAACCTGCATTGCACAGAAGGCACAGTAGTCTAGTGGTAGAACGCCGAGCTCGTGACCAAAGGGTTGCGTGTTCAAGTCACTGCAAGGCACTGTGTTGTATCTTTGAGCAAGATACTTTACTCGGCTTGTTCCAGTCTACTCAGCTGTAAATGAGTATGTGGTTGGGCAGTGCTAGAATTAGTCTGAATTATTCTGACGTTTTATCATTTTTTTTTATATCGGTCTGGCATTGATTAACTTCAAAACTCTGGTTCTCTATAACATGAGGGAAATAAGCGACCCGTGCCAGGGTCGCTTTTCAAACTAAAATATTTTAGAAACAAATTGTCACTTTCACACACATGTCGCACATGGATCGAAAGATCTATTCTTTATGCACTAGGTGGTATCATTAACATGTTTCAAAGATCATTACGAACAGTATTTTCCAACGTTTTCTATACCAAACCATGTTTTTAATGGAAATTAGGGCATAAGCCATGTCACATGACTTGACGAGATCACGAAGGTATTTCCTAAAGTTATGACGAGATTTTAGTCACGTGGCATTAAAAGGCGGGCAGGGACAAATCTAGCTTCATTTTGCTGCCGTTTAACGGCACTTTCCACTCGAGAAAAAGGTACCAATTTTTCCCTATTTCCCCTCAAAATTCCCCTTTTTTTGGCAAAAAAGTAATTACAAAAATCTTTAAAATGCTTTCAGTGTTACTGTTGTTGTTCGCCATTTGTGCATTTGTCAATTTTGAGTGAAAATCGGCGCCAGAAAAATACTTTTTGTGACAATATTTGGTGCAAAACCCATCTGTGTATAAAGTAGTAGGAAAGCAAAAGTAACTTATTTACGTAAGCGTAATCCGTCTTCAGGTGTTAATTATTGCAAAGCTAATTAAATAGAAGGCAATCTGAGTAGATTATTACGCAACACATAAATGAGGACTAAAATATGCTTGCGTAACAGTTACAGCATAAACGCAAAATTCTGTGACTAACAATGCTTGACTGACAGGTTTGCTGTTCAACTTGATTGCACGTCATGCTGGTACTGATTCCTTGGTGATTGTTTGCATATTTTGACTTATTAAATATAAACTGAACATTACAATAAAGATGTGTTCACAGTGTAAAAGTAGAGTTTGTGGAGAATAATTATGATTAACTTACACATGAAATGATATCAACAAATTCAAAATATTTGAATGAGGAAAAATGTGAATGTGAATGTGAATGTGACACTGATACTGTTACTTCTGAATTTCTGTGTTTATATTGTCCAGACAATTGAAGTAAAATAGTAAATCGAAAACCAAGACGATATTCTAAGGCCGTAAGTCCATGGACATTGGCAAACAATAAGAAATAAGGAATATTGTGTTCCAACAAAATAATATCAAATAAATTTACAAACTTAATGTAATAAATTAAATCAACTTTGCTGGTTTATTTTGAAACATTATATATATAGAGGAAAAATAATTATATTTATCAATGGTACGGTATCACTGGGGTTACGTAGGTGCTAGAGTACCTGTGTATGTAGGGGTAAGGCGTGGAGTCTAACGTACACGGTGAATTACGTGTTGCATGTGAATTACCNCCCCCCCCCGGTCAACTTGGTAGCGAGCAATAGAGAGTTAATTTGTTTTGATGTTACTTGCCATTTGGTGTATGCTTTCAGGTTTATAGGCTTTGGCATATTACAGAGCTGCTAGGACAGATCCTTTGGGATTGGGACTTGGAGCTAGAGGAACAGTCGCTCAGGAACAGTCGCTCAGGAACAGCCGTGCACAGTCGCGTGTTGTTGCCGTGTTTTTGTAGTTACCACAATAAAAGCGCTAGCTGCAGTCAGCTATTTCCTATATTACAGTGTTGAGTTGTAATTGATAAATGATTTATGTTCGTTTGAACTGGTGAATTAGAACATCATGTACTTTAATTAAAACTTCGTATCAACAAATAAAAATTGAAGTTTAGCTACGTAACAAGAACCATTTTTCCTAAACATGAATAGAATATGAGTTCACAAACAATGTATTTATAAAATTGTCATAATTTTTTTTTAATCAATTTTTACTTTCCTTTTTTATTTTTATTACATTGTTTACAGAGAGAAAACATTCTTATTAAAGTTTCACATCTAAAAGTGAACAAAAAACAAAAGATTGAATTAAGCAAAACATGCTTTTCCTAGATAACAGACAACGTTGCGAAGGGAAGTTGTAAGGGTTAAGATACTGACTTTATTCTGAGTAATAACAGCTAGTACACATAAATATCTTACTTTCACATCTTCTTCTTCTTCTTCCATATAATTGCCTCCTTCGTCTTATCGAAGATTATGCAATGTTAATGATACATATTATGATATATACAAGATAGTCAGATTGTGTCTTTTTCCCCCCAAGTAGGGAAAAAGTTCCCCTTTTTACTGAAAGGGCACTTTCCCCCCAAAACCTAGATTAATCCCTGGTGCCGGGGGGGCTATCAAAAACGTAAACTATAATACAGTAAGTTTGAAAAATAAGATTTTAGTGATTGTATTGGTTGTTTGAGGCATGTTATATATGTTCACCTTATGCATAAAGAATAGATCTTTTGATCCATGTGCGACATGTGTGTGAAAGTGGCGATTTGTTTCTAAAATATCAGTTTGAAGCGGCAGCACGATTTACCCAAAAAGACCCAAACACCCAAAGATACCAAAAAAGACCCCAAAAACACACAAAAACATTACATATAAAAATATATTTATATTTATGCTACCTGACATTTTGTAACATAATGATGTTTCCCGTTAATTGGATAGTGACGCAAGTAATATTAACTATACGTATTTGAGTTACTTCCCCTGCATTGCTGCAAACAAGTTTACCGTTTGCCTTTTCACAGAAGATCGATATTTGTTATATAAAAACGTATTTTTCTCACTCTTTCCACATTATTTGACATAGGTAGCCTATGTTTATTTTGTATTTGATAAGTGCATTTGCTCTAAAGAGGATATTGTTTGATGTGTTAAATTCGTACTTGTTTTTTTGAGGTTCTGATTATTTCAATCTATTTTGCATTTGCAGAAAATTAGGTTACTACATTATAATATTAACTGAATATTATTAAGTGTCATCAGTGTTTTTTTGTGGTCTTATCAGGATGTTTTGGGGTGTTTTTAGGTAAATCGTGCCACCCGTTTGAAGAGCGACCCTAACACGGGTCGCTTAATTATTTCCCGCATGTTATTAGAGGGCCGGAGTTCTGATGTTAATCGACGCCAGACCAATATAAAAAAAAGTTGATAAAACGTCAGAATAATTCGGACTATGCTAGAATTTGAGACGACTTACAAACTTAAGGTTGTGAAAAAGCGGTACATAAGAACCTCAAATTATTATTATTATTATTATTGACGGATACCACATTTTTAAATATATAACCATACCGGCCAGTAACCACATGTACTAACAACTAGCCTCATCTGTCAATATAATAAAACATATTATATGTGTATTGACAGACGGGGCTAGTGCCTGTGATATAACAGCTCGTAGCTGTAACATAGAAATATCTCACTTCTTTAAAATGAACTGGCTGTTCGAGATATGTGCACCATGCTGTCATGTCGCTTGAGCATCACACCCTGGATCCTAAGGATGATGACGATGAAACTGACTTGAGCCAGTCGAGGATAAATCTGAACAAGAAAAACAAATAAGAAGATAACAAGAATAATTAAAAATAATATATTACCGGTCCACTTGATTCCTGATAATACTTTTCATAAATCCATGTTTCATATCAATCCTGGTGACCGGTGTTTCAGCCATGGTTAGTGAACACCATCGGCATAATCAGCTTCAACTAGCTTTACCATAAATGTAACATGTGATAAACGTCATCGATTTACGTATTCTTTGATTTTCACATCAATGTCATGTAAACGCTAGGACAATAAATAAGCCGGTAAAACGCTTTGCTAACCACGATGCCATAGTGTACACATGTGTGACGTTTTGTGTACGCGCATGAAAGTATGGCGGAAAATGAGAGCCGGGAGTTGGCAAACGAGCTCAAAGGTATCTTAAAAAGAAAGCGAGATAGCTCACATCTGGGCAAACACGAGGATGAAAATCCAATAAGATCTATTCTGAAGAAAGGAAAAACATCTAAACCCAAAGAATCAAAACCGGAATCGGTCGAAACACGTGCGTCAAAGGCTGATCTAGTGCACGACAGTCCGTCTAAAAAGGGAATATTGAAGTCTTCGGTTGTTGTACCGTCACAGCAAGGAAATACCCCGAGAAGCATTCTTGTAAAAACACAAAACAACACAGATAACGTTTTAGCTGCTGAACAAGCTCAATCTATTGTAAGCCTGGGCAAAACATCTAGAAATATATCACAGCCTCAAGTTAAGCAAGAAATTAGAGATGAACTATATGAAATAGCAGAGGCTGAACTTCTTTCCGAAGAACAAGAACAGTCAGAACAGGAACCGTCGTCTCCTCCCCCACAACCAAAAAAAGCAACATCTGATGCTAACCGAGAAACGAAATCGGAGCCAGAGCATGTGAAAGAAGACAGGCGATCAAGCTCCAGCAAACATAAGTCAGGTTCTTCAAAGTCGCATTCATCACGGAAGGAAAAGACATCATCAGACAAAAAGCCCAAGACTGATAAAAAGCAAAAGCCTTATCAGCCAGCAAATACTACCCTTGTGGACGATTATGACGATGATGATGAAATTGGTAATTATGGACATAAATTGTTTTAGTTTTCCTAAAGCTGACAGTGCAAGTTAGAAATCGAGATTAAAAAAACATTAAATTAATTTTTTGATTACCTATGAAATGTTCCCTAGTGACTTTCACCTATGCCAACATTTAGTTTGTGCTCTTTCGGCTACAGATATGAACTGCCCTTGGTATAAAAGTGCTGGTTATCATTCTTACACAGACAGATTCAATAAATGCATTGGGTGCCTTGATTGGCAGCTGATATAAAGAAAATCAAACACATTAACCTGAACGGCGAAGACTTTGGAATGCTGTATAGCTGGTTATTACCTCCCAAACATCCTCAAAAATAAAGTGTGTATCCAAAAATTAAAGATATAACACTGAAAGCTGTCCAATTAACCCCATATAGATTAACCGATTTAGCCCTTTGGAAAGCTTGCTGCTTTGCAATTTAAATTGCTTTAATCATTAATCAGTTCATCAAAACATTAATCAATCAATGATGCATATGGATATTCTTGACCCTTCAAGTTTTGCATGTACACCAAAAATTTATAATGTGGCATCTTTCTAGTGGAAAAAAAATTGTGATACAAATTTGTGTTGGAGAAATCTAAATTTTGATACCTTAGTGCTCTCTAACCCTACATAACACATCTATCTGTCAAAAAGTCTGGTCTTGGAAACTCAAGCCCCAACACCTGTTAGATACAACAAAAAATTTCCTTCAGTAGTTGCATGATTGTAAAACAAAATTCTGATGACCATAGCACTTGTCAGTTTTAAATTTGTTTGTGGTCATTCATAATTTGACTTAACAACAACGTTTCTAAGTCTTGGTTCGATTTCTCTGACAGAAAACTGGAACAATAGGATTTTTCTGGCATTTTGGTTCAGATAAAGAAATTGTTATAGTTAATGATATTTTTTTCAGAACCCATTCAGGATCCTAAAGTTGACAAGAGTCGTTCCTGTCCATATCTGGACACAATTAACAGGTAACACAATTTTTATGTTGGCCCTTTACAGAGAATTGTTATTTAAGACACAGCTAATTAATTTCAAATGTTGAGATTTTTTGCATTAGTTTATTTTCTTTCTTCATGGTAAATTGTTGTCATTTCAACCATCATATCTGTGTTTGCATGAGATTTATTGATAATGCCTTAAGGTCATAGGAGTGTATTGATAAACGGAAATAGGATGTACATTCCTAGTTGAAAATCCAATGTAGGGAGACAGTATCACAATTTCCGCATATTCTAATGTTTAATATTGAACTGATGAATATTGTGTGTTTATTATTGATAGAACAGTGTGTTCTCTCAATATTAAAGTATTTCAAAGCAATCCAGGCATTAATTCAGTTGTTTTTTTATCAATGAGTCACATATGTCCATTTTTCTGTACTCAGGAAACCGGCTACCTATATTCACTACTGTGAAGTTTTTCAGGACAGATAACTCTTACATGCAATTACTATGTGTATATGGTTTTATTATAAAATGTCAATTTTTATTTTTTTAGCGATAATTAATTTTACACAATTTCAACATTTATTGAATTGATATACATTACTTTAATGCAATACTAATCTATGTCAGTATCATTTTTATTGACATTATTTTGCAAAAAAGTGTCTTTCATTTTGTTTTCAAAATTCACTCCTTTTTACATAAATTTCCATTTAAAATCCTTAAAATTCTGACAACCTATATTTTTTTGTGGCAGAAAATTTTCTTTACTTCAAAGCAATATAACTACAAAATTTGAAGAAATTCTACTGAGAAATGGTGATACAATCCTATTACCTTAAAAACAAGTGTGTTTCCTGTTACCTGGCCCGTTCATTTTGCAGAAAAAGCACACTTACACAGAGAAGGTACAGAATATTGGTTCCTAAAATCGTTTTGCCTGTACTTGCTCCATTTCCTAAAAATGAAGTGAATAAAAAATTATCCAAACTGGCAGTAATGCAGTGTGGTACACTAAATATTAGGAAACAAACAAAAATTGGATGAAAAACAAACCTATTCTTTGATTTAAGGTGAAATTTGGTGGTGGCAAGGACAAACAGACTTTCCAACAGTTCAGATGATTTTTAGGCTTAAGAAAATAACTGATATTGCAGCAGAATTAAAGAATTAGGATATTTAGGCAGTCCTCTTATACTGTATACTTGGTATTGTTTTAATTTAGACACGGAGACAGCTGGTTTCCAGTAAAAATGTTTATGAAGCTGCAATGTGCAACTAATGAAAAATCGGGACAGTAGACAGATCTTGAGCCAGCACTTCTGTTTTTAAATTTGTCTCTGTTGTATTTAGTGCACATGTGTATAGGCGAATAGAAATTTAAAGAAAAATTATCAAGATTATACTAAGGAAGTCGGTGCTTGATAACAGGATAGCCATAGTTCCATATAATATAATTATTTTTTTTCTTTCTCAAATCTTAATATTTTGTTGTGTACATAAGTAGTATTCACTTGATAATGATGTCGTGATTACCACAAATAAATGATTCATGTCGGTATCTTCCTAAATAATCAAACTGATGTGTAACCCTGGACAAATAATTAGCTCAATAGATTTTAGAACCCAAACAGGATCTACTCGCTCTCCAACTAAAATAGGACCCATTTGTAAATTGGAAAAAATTGATTCATTTGAATATGAATTGTGAAAATTCCATATCAAATATTTGTTTTTATTATCAGGTCTGTGCTGGATTTTGATTTTGAGAAGCTGTGCTCTGTTTCTTTGTCGCATATCAATGTGTATGCCTGTCTAGTGTGTGGAAAATACTTTCAGGGTAAGCATTAATAAGTCTTGATATTTTAAGATTGATAAACTTTGATAAATCTTTAAATAATTTGCTTGATAATCACTATCTTTCCGAAAAATTTTAACATATTCACTATCTTATAAGAATAAAATTTCAGAGCTAAGCATGCTTGATATGGTAAATGTTTTGTTGTAGGTCGAGGAAAGATGTCCCATGCATACACCCACAGTGTACTGGACAGTCATCACGTGTTTCTCAACCTTCTCACCCACAAGTTCTACTGCCTCCCTGACAACTATGAAATCATTGATTCCTCTCTTGAAGACATCATTGTAAGTGTAGTACCAGTCCAGTAAATGGAAGACATCATTGCATGTGTAGTATACCAGTCCAGTAAATGGAAGACATCATTGTAAGTGTACTACACTTACAATGATGTCTTCCATTTACTGGACTGGTACTACACTTAAAATGATGTCTTCCATTTACTGGACTGGGATACTACACATGCAATGATGTCTTCCAGTCCAGTAAATGGAAGACATCATTTTAAGTGTAGTACCAGTCCAGTAAATGGAAGACATTGTAAGTGTAGTACCAGTCCAGTAAATAGAAGACATCATTGTAAGTGTAGTACCAGTCCAGCAAATGGAAGACATCATTGTAAGTGTAGTGCCAGTCCAGTAAATGGAAGACATCATTTTAAGTGTAGTACCAGTCCAGTAAATGGAAGACATTGTAAGTGTAGTATCAGTCCTACCAGTCCAGTAAATGGAAGACATCATTGTAAGTGTAGTACCAGTCCAGTAAATGGAAGACATCATGGTAAGTGTAGTACCAGTCCAATAAATGGAAGACATTATTGTAAGTGTAGTATCAGTCCAGTAAATGGAAGACATTGTAAGTGTAGTACCAGTCCAGTAAATGGAAGGGTTGCACTTTGGAACTCCCTCATTTTCTCTTTAGTACATGTAAACCTATTGTAATGAAGGTAAGGGTTGCCATTTCAAGTAATAATACTTCAGATCTGCTTTTACGGGATAGAGTATTCTCCTTTTTAAGTAGAAGTTTAAAAGCAATCTAAAGGAGTTTTAATGCTTTGGAGTTATTTCCCCTTGACAAGGTATTTATCTTCCCTGTAGAGTGACTTTGGTAAAGTGTTAGAGTGACAGTAGGTAGATTCGGAGTTTAACCCTGGAATTCCGTGTTTTGTTTGTTTTCGTATGCTTCCAAATATTTAGTCAATTTTCAAAAACTCCAATTTCGTAGAATCACATGATGTGTTTTAGAATACATTTGCTTTTAGAAAAAGGCTGAAACAAATATGTATTTACAATGACAATGGTAATGATATAATAATGATATTGTTACATTTAGTTGGCTTTATTGCTAATCCTACCAAACAGAAATCGTAATTTTATGGATTTCAAAAAATAGGCAAATACATTTTGAGTTTCTCATTACCAAATCTGTATGGGTTTTAAAGTCACTGTTGGTAAACTAACTAGACAGTAGAGCTATTGTCATAGAAGTTATACTAGATCTGGTTTATAAGTTTTTCTGGATCATGAATTCACTAATAAATGTATGGTGGAATATGGAGTAAGATTATGCATGATGACATCTATAAATTTCATTTCAGTATGTTTTGAATCCAACATTTACAATTGATCACATCAAGAAACTGGACTTCACAAACAAGTTATCTCGTGCTTACGATGGGACAACGTATAATCCAGGTATGCTTTGTTTACTTCATAGACTTTTATTTTACAGCTACCGGTATTCAAATTTTATCATCCATTAACATCACAAGGTCAGATTTGTTAAAAAGTATAAACACATTCTGTCTACTAAACAGGAGGCCAAGGGTGATGATACTTGGCCACTTTATGCCAGGATAATGATCTGTCAATTATGTTAAAATACATAACTTTGGCCCACTTTCAAGGTCGCAGAGGTCAAATAATTACAAACATGCAACAACATTGTCTATATAGGATGATATTTGGCCAGTGGTATGCTGTGTTGAAGAACTATGAAGTTTGTTCAAATGAATGGTATTGACCAACTTTTCAAGGTCATAGGAGTTAAATTTGACATTTAAACATACAATTATATGAATGTATTCCCTGACATGTAACTGTATTAATGTCCTCTGTCACCATGTTCCCTTTGTAGGTATAGTTGGATGTATTCCCTGACATGTAACTGTATTAGTGTCCTCTGTCACCATGTTCCCTTTGTAGGTATAGTTGGATGTATTCCCTGACATGTAACTGTATTAATGTCCTCTGTCACCATGTTCCCTTTGTAGGTATAGTTGGATGTATTCCCTGACATGTAACTGTATTAATGTCCTCTGTCACCATGTTCCCTTTGTAGGTATAGTTGGATGTATTCCCTGACATGTAACTGTATTAATGTCCTCTGTCACCATGTTCCCTTTGTAGGTATAGTTGGATGTATTCCCTGACATGTAACTGTATTAATGTCCTCTGTCACCATGTTCCCTTTGTAGGTATAGTTGGATGTATTCCCTGACATGTAACTGTATTAATGTCCTCTGTCACCATGTTCCCTTTGTAGGTATAGTTGGATGTATTCCCTGACATGTAACTGTATTAATGTCCTCTGTCACCATGTTCCCTTTGTAGGTATAGTTGGATGTATTCCCTGACATGTAACTGTATTAATGTCCTCTGTCACCATGTTCCCTTTGTAGGTATAGTTGGATGTATTCCCTGACATGTAACTGTATTAATGTCCTCTGTCACCATGTTCCCTTTGTAGGTATAGTTGGATGTATTCCCTGACATGTAACTGTATTAATGTCCTCTGTCACCATGTTCCCTTTGTAGGTATAGTTGGATGTATTCCCTGACATGTAACTGTATTAATGTCCTCTGTCACCATGTTCCCTTTGTAGGTATAGTTGGATGTATTCCCTGACATGTAACTGTATTAATGTCCTCTGTCACCATGTTCCCTTTGTAGGTATAGTTGGATGTATTCCCTGACATGTAACTGTATTAATGTCCTCTGTCACCATGTTCCCTTTGTAGGTATAGTTGGATGTATTCCCTGACATGTAACTGTATTAATGTCCTCTGTCACCATGTTCCCTTTGTAGGTATAGTTGGATGTATTCCCTGACATGTAACTGTATTAATGTCCTCTGTCACCATGTTCCCTTTGTAGGTATAGTTGGATGTATTCCCTGACATGTAACTGTATTAATGTCCTCTGTCACCATGTTCCCTTTGTAGGTATAGTTGGATGTATTCCCTGACATGTAACTGTATTAATGTCCTCTGTCACCATGTTCCCTTTGTAGGTATAGTTGGATGTATTCCCTGACATGTAACTGTATTAATGTCCTCTGTCACCATGTTCCCTTTGTAGGTATAGTTGGATGTATTCCCTGACATGTAACTGTATTAATGTCCTCTGTCACCATGTTCCCTTTGTAGGTATAGTTGGATGTATTCCCTGACATGTAACTGTATTAATGTCCTCTGTCACCATGTTCCCTTTGTAGGTATAGTTGGATGTATTCCCTGACATGTAACTGTATTAATGTCCTCTGTCACCATGTTCCCTTTGTAGGTATAGTTGGATGTATTCCCTGACATGTAACTGTATTAATGTCCTCTGTCACCATGTTCCCTTTGTAGGTATAGTTGGATGTATTCCCTGACATGTAACTGTATTAATGTCCTCTGTCACCATGTTCCCTTTGTAGGTATAGTTGGATGTATTCCCTGACATGTAACTGTATTAATGTCCTCTGTCACCATGTTCCCTTTGTAGGTATAGTTGGATGTATTCCCTGACATGTAACTGTATTAATGTCCTCTGTCACCATGTTCCCTTTGTAGGTATAGTTGGATGTATTCCCTGACATGTAACTGTATTAATGTCCTCTGTCACCATGTTCCCTTTGTAGGTATAGTTGGATGTATTCCCTGACATGTAACTGTATTAATGTCCTCTGTCACCATGTTCCCTTTGTAGGTATAGTTGGATGTATTCCCTGACATGTAACTGTATTAATGTCCTCTGTCACCATGTTCCCTTTGTAGGTATAGTTGGATGTATTCCCTGACATGTAACTGTATTAATGTCCTCTGTCACCATGTTCCCTTTGTAGGTATAGTTGGATGTATTCCCTGACATGTAACTGTATTAATGTCCTCTGTCACCATGTTCCCTTTGTAGGTATAGTTGGATGTATTCCCTGACATGTAACTGTATTAATGTCCTCTGTCACCATGTTCCCTTTGTAGGTATAGTTGGATGTATTCCCTGACATGTAACTGTATTAATGTCCTCTGTCACCATGTTCCCTTTGTAGGTATAGTTGGATGTATTCCCTGACATGTAACTGTATTAGTGTCCTCTGTCACCATGTTCCCTTTGTAGGTATAGTTGGATGTATTCCCTGACATGTAACTGTATTAGTGTCCTCTGTCACCATGTTCCCTTTGTAGGTATAGTTGGATGTATTCCCTGACATGTAACTGTACTAATGTCCTCTGTCATTCTGTTCCCTTTGTAGGTATAGTTGGATGTATTCCCTGACATGTAACTGTATTAATGTCCTCTGTCACCATGTTCCCTTTGTAGGTATAGTTGGATGTATTCCCTGACATGTAACTGTATTAATGTCCTCTGTCACCATGTTCCCTTTGTAGGTATAGTTGGATGTATTCCCTGACATGTAACTGTATTAATGTCCTCTGTCACCATGTTCCCTTTGTAGGTATAGTTGGATGTATTCCCTGACATGTAACTGTATTAATGTCCTCTGTCACCATGTTCCCTTTGTAGGTATAGTTGGATGTATTCCCTGACATGTAACTGTATTAATGTCCTCTGTCACCATGTTCCCTTTGTAGGTATAGTTGGATGTATTCCCTGACATGTAACTGTATTAATGTCCTCTGTCACCATGTTCCCTTTGTAGGTATAGTTGGATGTATTCCCTGACATGTAACTGTATTAATGTCCTCTGTCACCATGTTCCCTTTGTAGGTATAGTTGGATGTATTCCCTGACATGTAACTGTATTAATGTCCTCTGTCACCATGTTCCCTTTGTAGGTATAGTTGGATGTATTCCCTGACATGTAACTGTATTAATGTCCTCTGTCACCATGTTCCCTTTGTAGGTATAGTTGGATGTATTCCCTGACATGTAACTGTATTAATGTCCTCTGTCACCATGTTCCCTTTGTAGGTATAGTTGGATGTATTCCCTGACATGTAACTGTATTAATGTCCTCTGTCACCATGTTCCCTTTGTAGGTATAGTTGGATGTATTCCCTGACATGTAACTGTATTAATGTCCTCTGTCACCATGTTCCCTTTGTAGGTATAGTTGGATGTATTCCCTGACATGTAACTGTATTAATGTCCTCTGTCACCATGTTCCCTTTGTAGGTATAGTTGGATGTATTCCCTGACATGTAACTGTATTAATGTCCTCTGTCACCATGTTCCCTTTGTAGGTATAGTTGGATGTATTCCCTGACATGTAACTGTATTAATGTCCTCTGTCACCATGTTCCCTTTGTAGGTATAGTTGGATGTATTCCCTGACATGTAACTGTATTAATGTCCTCTGTCACCATGTTCCCTTTGTAGGTATAGTTGGATGTATTCCCTGACATGTAACTGTATTAATGTCCTCTGTCACCATGTTCCCTTTGTAGGTATAGTTGGATGTATTCCCTGACATGTAACTGTATTAATGTCCTCTGTCACCATGTTCCCTTTGTAGGTATAGTTGGATGTATTCCCTGACATGTAACTGTATTAATGTCCTCTGTCACCATGTTCCCTTTGTAGGTATAGTTGGATGTATTCCCTGACATGTAACTGTATTAATGTCCTCTGTCACCATGTTCCCTTTGTAGGTATAGTTGGATGTATTCCCTGACATGTAACTGTATTAATGTCCTCTGTCACCATGTTCCCTTTGTAGGTATAGTTGGATGTATTCCCTGACATGTAACTGTATTAATGTCCTCTGTCACCATGTTCCCTTTGTAGGTATAGTTGGATGTATTCCCTGACATGTAACTGTATTAATGTCCTCTGTCACCATGTTCCCTTTGTAGGTATAGTTGGATGTATTCCCTGACATGTAACTGTATTAATGTCCTCTGTCACCATGTTCCCTTTGTAGGTATAGTTGGATGTATTCCCTGACATGTAACTGTATTAATGTCCTCTGTCACCATGTTCCCTTTGTAGGTATAGTTGGATGTATTCCCTGACATGTAACTGTATTAATGTCCTCTGTCACCATGTTCCCTTTGTAGGTATAGTTGGATGTATTCCCTGACATGTAACTGTATTAATGTCCTCTGTCACCATGTTCCCTTTGTAGGTATAGTTGGATGTATTCCCTGACATGTAACTGTATTAATGTCCTCTGTCACCATGTTCCCTTTGTAGGTATAGTTGGATGTATTCCCTGACATGTAACTGTATTAATGTCCTCTGTCACCATGTTCCCTTTGTAGGTATAGTTGGATGTATTCCCTGACATGTAACTGTATTAATGTCCTCTGTCACCATGTTCCCTTTGTAGGTATAGTTGGATGTATTCCCTGACATGTAACTGTATTAATGTCCTCTGTCACCATGTTCCCTTTGTAGGTATAGTTGGATGTATTCCCTGACATGTAACTGTATTAATGTCCTCTGTCACCATGTTCCCTTTGTAGGTATAGTTGGATGTATTCCCTGACATGTAACTGTATTAATGTCCTCTGTCACCATGTTCCCTTTGTAGGTATAGTTGGATGTATTCCCTGACATGTAACTGTATTAATGTCCTCTGTCACCATGTTCCCTTTGTAGGTATAGTTGGATGTATTCCCTGACATGTAACTGTATTAATGTCCTCTGTCACCATGTTCCCTTTGTAGGTATAGTTGGATGTATTCCCTGACATGTAACTGTATTAATGTCCTCTGTCACCATGTTCCCTTTGTAGGTATAGTTGGATGTATTCCCTGACATGTAACTGTATTAATGTCCTCTGTCACCATGTTCCCTTTGTAGGTATAGTTGGATGTATTCCCTGACATGTAACTGTATTAATGTCCTCTGTCACCATGTTCCCTTTGTAGGTATAGTTGGATGTATTCCCTGACATGTAACTGTATTAATGTCCTCTGTCACCATGTTCCCTTTGTAGGTATAGTTGGATGTATTCCCTGACATGTAACTGTATTAATGTCCTCTGTCACCATGTTCCCTTTGTAGGTATAGTTGGATGTATTCCCTGACATGTAACTGTATTAATGTCCTCTGTCACCATGTTCCCTTTGTAGGTATAGTTGGATGTATTCCCTGACATGTAACTGTATTAGTGTCCTCTGTCACCATGTTCCCTTTGTAGGTATAGTTGGATGTATTCCCTGACATGTAACTGTTTTAATGTCCTAGATCACCATGTTCCCTTTGTAGGTATAGTTGGATGTATTCCCTGACATGTAACTGTATTAATGTCCTCTGTCACCATGTTCCCCTTGTAGGTATAGTTGGATGTATTCCCTGACATGTAACTGTATTAATGTCCTCTGTCACCATGTTCCCCTTGTAGGTATAGTTGGACTCAACAACATCAAAGCCAACGACTACTGTAATGTGATTTTGCAGGTGAGTACTGGCACCCTTGGATTCTTCAATAAAATAATGAATTATCATTATGGTAGACATTTAAAAAAATGATGTAAAAGTGCATTTGTGATAATATTCTCATTTTGCTGGTAGAATATTAGCAGTTTCTTCAATTAAGACCCTTTTTTGGACATTAAGACTGATGAATATAACTGAAACTACATCTAAAATATACATAGATGAAGAATTTACTTACTCACTGAATGTTTTTATGCACTAGTTAACAAATGAGGGATATTGTTTTGGCCTGATAAAAACATCTCTCTTTTATCAACAGGAAAGTGCAATGGTATGACTAATAACCGGACACATCTGAACCGAGATTTCAGAAATTCAAAAATGAACCAAATTAAAAATAGTAATCGTAAAAAGCAAACCTGAGCAATGGTCATTTAAGGACGAGTCAGGTTTTGGTGGTGGAGGATATAGATATACCAAAAACGCCCCACAATACTGATACGTATCAGTGTATTAATCCACAACTAGTCATAACATGGAAACAGTTGAGATCACAATCCTATAACCATATATTACCAATTAGAATTAGTAATTGCTTAAATATGCAGGTGAACAATGAAAGCCCTTTGGTTCGGTTCTGACAAATAGAGAACAATGAAAGCCCTTTGGTTCGGTTCTGACAAATAGAGAACAATGAAAGCCCTTTGGGTCGGTTCTGACAAATAGAGAACCATGAAAGCCCTTTCGTTAGGTTCTGACAAATAGAGAACAATGAAAGCCCTTTGGGTCGGTTCTGACAAATAGAGAACAATGAGAGCCCTTTGGTTTGGTTCTGACAAATAGAGAACAATGAAAGCACTTTGGTTCGGTTCTGACAAATAGAGAACAATGAAAGCCCTTTGGTTCGGTTCTGACAAATAGAGAACAATAAAAGCCCTTTGGGTCGGTTCTGACAAATAGAGAACAATGAAAGCCCTTTGGGTCGGTTCTGACAAATAGAGAAATCATTGTTAATTGGATGTTTCATTTACAATAGAAGAATTGCTAAACCAGACGAGGTAAAATTGGCTGTTAATCTTGTTTCTCCGGCACTGTCCGACGTATCACCACGAAGGCACCGCTTCTTTTATGAGCACAGCTACAAAGTGGGGTAGACTGTTAATCATATCTTGTTTCTCCAGGCGCTGTCCCATGTGTCGCCACTCAGGAACTACTTCCTGCAAGAAGAAAACTATAAAAAGATCAAGAGGCCTCCTGGAGACCAGATGTTGATGATTTGTCAGCGATTTGGAGAACTTATTCGGAAATTGTGGAATCCACGGAACTTCAAGGCTCATGTCAGTCCTCATGAGATGTTGCAGTCAGTGGTTCTGTGCAGCAAGAAGAAGTTTCAGATCACAGAACAGGGTGCATAATGAAAGTTTTTTGTATGGTTAAAGAACTGTGTTTGTAATATAGGATTTATGTATGGTTAAAGAACAGTGTTTGATATATAGGATTTATGTATGGTTAAAGAACAGTGTTTGTAATATAGGATTTTTGTATGATTAGAGAACAGTGTTTGTAATATAGGATTTATGTATGGTTAAAGAACAGTGTTTGTAATATAGGATTTTTGTATGATTAGAGAACAGGGTATGTAATCAAGGTTTTATGTATGGTTCAATATAGTATCATAGTAACTAGACTTTAACCCTTTCACCACTGTAGACTGTAATGGACTTATCCAGATCAATGCAAAGAAGAGTTTACTAAAGTTACATAGGGGTGAAAGGGTTAAACAAGATTCTTAATGGGTCGATCAAAATGGATTGTGCTATAAAAAATTCTCAAATAAATTACTTTTGATAAACTTTAAAGGTCACAAATGTCAAATAAGTTAAAAAGTAAAAATGACTTAATCTGAAAGTCTTGTGACATCTAGAGCAATGATACGCTAGCATGTTATAAAGACCAGCTGTATGCATCTTTTTCTAGGGTATTGTGTTTAGGTCAAAGGTCAATTTTAAGAAGTTGCTGTGGTCAAATGCTAACATCTGAAATTATATGTGAAAGCTTTTTAAATCTTTTTCTGAATAACCTAGGGTCAAAATATTTGGCTTGTATCGTGCTGGTGTATAGGGCTATCAAGTTTGCAGTTATGAATGACCTTGACCTTTTCTGAAGGTTACAGAAGTCAAATGTGTTAATACCTTGAAACAACTTAAAAACCAAGATTCCTATGTTAAGGTATGCTAGACTTGACTCTGTCCTAATGTCACATATGTGAGGTGGATTACAGGTGTGTGATTCAGGCTCTTTAGGCCTCTTTTGTAACAAGTAATTGACCACAAACTCCAGTATCAAAAATTGTTGGTCAAACTCTCCAGAGGAACATGCCTTTAACAGACCCTAAATACATTAGAAATATCTATATTAAAAACAATTACAGCAGAAGATAACTGTCTTGAACAGGCCCTAAATAAACCCCAAACTATACCAATAAATACTGGTAAAAATATCCAGCGAAAAAGCCCTCTATACCCCCTCGAAGTGTCACTAAAGGGTTGATCACAGAAGCAGGTAGAATGTTGATTTAGAAACCTTAGGGTCCTGAGCCTGAATTGCAGTCTTGTCTTCTGTATTTGTCCTAGCACAAACACCATTAACTGTTTATTTACATCATAGGTGACTCGCTCGACTTTATGTCCTGGTTCCTAAATGCCCTACATGTGTCCCTGAACGGTACGAGGAAGCTCAACAGTAGCATTGTCAACAAGACCTTCCGAGGAAAGATGAGGGTGTATACGCGCAAAATGCTGCCTGTGGAATTGGTATGTGGATGTTAACAATTGATTTTAGATTTACTTAATTGGTACAATATTTAGTGGACTCCAAATGTTCTGATGACTTATCTACTGATTCTGATCTTGGTTAAGGTAGCAGTATACAGTAGAAGGGTTGTGGCCATGGGTGATATTTTTGTTAAATGGCTAACCCCTGTATAATGATATGTAAAAAAATTATAAGCTTCACATTTGTAAAAAAAATAGATTTTTTTGGTTCGAAAGGGTACCTACACATGAAAAGCTAGCTTTACAGGAGGTAAAATTTTGACAACAGCACACGACGCAAAATTGCAAAAAAATCAAGTTTTACAACTTTACTGGGACCCAGATAATTCTGCAACCAGGTAGGTAATCTTTAATTTCAGACAGAACTTGGGAAAAAAGCTACTAGTTGCGGGGGTCAAATTTTGGGTCAAAAATAGCAATTTTTGGCATTTTTTTGGGAATTTTTGAGGGGGTAGCCATGGTTTTTAGACAAGTGACATACATAGAAAAAAGAGGTTTATACACTTCTCAGTACTTTATATGTATTGTAAATGTAATGCAGTTTATAAATATATATATATACATGTATACATGTGTTGTGTAGGGTAAATCCGCTGTGTTTACATTTCCTCGACATGTGCCTTGCAGATCAGAGTCAGCCATTTCTACTGTACACTGCTACCTAAAAGGACATTTGTAATAGACATTTCAAATATTGAGTGGTCTTCACTTAGGCTTCATATGATGTGAAGTAGCTCACCATTTCCAATCTTAGCATTATCCAAAGATTATGAATTATCCAAAGATTGTTTTTTATCATGCTGAACTATGGACAAGCTTTCCAGGTATCCTGTATCTACCTTTCTTATTAACAGAAAGAGGAAGAAAAAGAAAAGTTGCTCCAGACAGAAGAGTATACAGGTAACTACATATTAATTCCAACTTTGTCAATAATTGGGGGAAAAAAATTGTATTGGTCAAAAGTTAACAAAATCTAACATTTATAGCAAGTTGCCAAAGGTCAGACTCCTTCAGTAAAGCATGACTGTTATTACAAGGTGCATGTCACATCAATCTTCCTTGGGTTCTCCTTTTGTTTGTAGATATGAAAAACATTTTGATTGCAAGGCGGCCATTTTGTATTTCAGGAGTGGATATATCTATTGCTTTTTATCAAAAAGTAACCTTAAAATCTTAGTCAGCTTTTGTATACAGGGTCCCATTGAATCCAAGTTGTGCAACTTTAAAGGGAGTCATTTTGTGTTTTACACTTGCTGTATACATATTACTGAGAGCCATATTGTATTTTACACTTGCTGTATACAATATGCTGAGAGCCATATTGTATTTAACACTTTGGAGAGGGCGTTTCTAAGTTGAGATAACTTGTGCCTAATCCTTTTGGTTGAATGACAAATAAAAAGAAATTAAATCAAATTTAACACTTGCTTTATACAAAATGCTGAGAGCCATATTGTATTTAACACTTGCTGTATACATAATGCTGAGAGCCATATTGTATTTAACACTTGCTGTAAACATAATGCTGAGAGCCATATTTTATTTTACCCTTGCTGTATACAAAATGCTGAGAGCCATATTGTATTTAACACTCGCTGTATACATAATGCTGAGAGCCATATTGTATTTAACACTTGCTGTAAACATAATGCTGAGAGCCATATTTTATTTTACCCTTGCTGTATACAAAATGCTGAGAGCCATATTGTATTTAACACTCGCTGTATACATAATGCTGAGAGCCATATTGTATTTTTCACTTGCTGTATACATAATGCTGAGAGCCATATCGTATTTTACACTTGCTGTATACATATTGCTGAGCGCCATATTGTATTTTACACTTGCTGTATACATAATCCTTAGAGCCATATTGTATTTTACACTTGCTGTATGCATAATCCTTAGAGCCATATTGTATTTTACACTTGCTGTATACATAATCCTTAAAGCCATTTTGTATTTTACACTTGCTGTATACATAATGCTAAGAGCCATACTGTATTTAACACTTGCTGTATACATATTGCTGAGAGCCGTATTGTATTTAACACTTGCTGTATACATATTGCTGAGAGCCATATTGATATTGTATTTTACACTTGCTGTATACATAATCCTTAAAGCCATTTTGTATTTTACACTTGCTGTATACATAATGCTAAGAGCCATACTGTATTTAACACTTGCTGTATACATATTGCTGAGAGCCGTATTGTATTTAACACTTGCTGTATACATATTGCTGAGAGCCGTATTGTATTTAACACTTGCTGTATACATATTCCTGAGAGCCATATTGTATTTTACACTTGCTGCATACATATTCCTGAGAGCCATATTGTATTTTACACTTGCTGTATACTAAATTCTGTGCACAGTCTTTACCTTATATTTACTGTCTATATGTACCCTTGTTTTACTGTGGCTATATGTAGAGACCTATGAGGAGATCCCCTGGCTGTACTTGACCTGTGACCTTCCACCCCCACCCCTGTACCCTGATGAGCTGCGAGAGAACATCATCCCACAGGTTCCATTCTCCATCATCCTTGCCAAGTTTAACGGGATATCTGAGAAGGAGTACAAGACCCATAAGGACTCGAACATGAAGAGGTTTGAACTGACACGTCTCCCTCCCTACATCATCTGTTACATTAAGGTAGGTCTTGTTTTACTGAACTGGTTTTGTTAATATGTTTAAACACAAATAGTATAAATGTCAGGCATAAATTCAGTGGATCTCCACACTGCTGCAGCTGTAAAATCCTTGGCCAGATTAAAAATGTATAGTTGATTAGACCACAAAGTCTCGTTACTTTTGATTATTCAATTGTGTTCCATGCTGTATTCAAGGTCTAATAGGGGTAAAATCTTTTTAAAACACTACAAGAACTTATTTTTAAGAATAGAAAGGCCTAAAGTCATGCTTGTACAGACGTTAACTTGAGAACGATTGATCATCCAAAGTTGGAAGAACTCTATTGATTTTTGGCTTGTTCTGCCAGAGGTCAAGGTCACTGTTGCTGAAGATCCATGATTAATCAATAGCAAATCCTGCACATGACTACCTTTCCATTTGATCTGTTGTAGATCTTCTTCATTTTTAGATATTAAACAGTATCCATAAACTAAGAACAGAAATTGTTGACCCCCACGTTTTGTAAACCTTACCCCTGGAAAATGCAAGAAAATGTGGTTGAATTTTGTCCTGAAATGTCCTATTGACCATAGTGGCCATTAGCTTGCTGGAATGGAGTGCTAATCACTTTTTGATAATTGTGACTCCTATGTGAAGTAACAAGCTTTAAATTTGTTAAAACACTGAAGCAATTTCTTCTTCGAACCAAAAGACTTTGAGGAATGCTTTTTGTCCTGTAGCTTGCTGGTATAGAGTGCTACTAATTTTGTGAGAGAAATGACTTTCACCCATATTCAAGGTCAAGGGAGTCAAAGTTGCATTAAGACTCAACAACTTTTCTCTGGAGAACCAAAGGTCCTTAAGTCATGGTACTTTGCCAGTGGCTTGCTGTCATACATTTTTTGATATTTTAGAAAAGGAATGACCTTATTTTTGTAAGATACAGGGCTCAATTTATTTGTTTATATATATATTCCATCTTTTTAAGACTCAAAAGGCCTAAAGCTTTGGTGTTTGGCCAGTAGCTTGCTGAATATATTCAAGGACACAAATGTCAGATTCGTTAATAACACTGTAATTGTTTATCTTCAGAACCAAAGCTCCTAATGCCATATTCAACCATTAGCTGCTGAAATGTACCACACATGAGATTTTGGAAAGAACCTATTTTGGCCACTGCATGACCAGTAATTTAGGTCACAGGGGTTAAACTTAATTAAGGTCACAGGGGTTAAACTTAATTAAGGTCACAGGGGTTTAACTTAATTAAGGTCACAGGGGTTAAACTTAATTAAATACTTGAATGACTTCTTAAGAACTAACCTGTCTAGAGTGATTTATTAAGCCTGTAAATTGCTAATTGTAGTGCAAGGAATTTACTGAATCCTGTGTCTTCTGACTCTTGTTATAAAATAAATTGATCATGTATTTATAATCTTACAGAGATTCACAAAAAATTACTTCATTCAAGAAAAGAACAGAACAATTGTCAACTTTCCAATTAAGTAAGTATATTGATGTTTTTAACTTTTTATGGTAAACTGCGAATAATTTTGGATTACCCGATAGTTGCGACACATACAACTTACAATACTGATTTATGGTACCAGTGTTTCTTCTTTATATCGATATGGTTAACAAAACTGACCATGGTTAGAAATGTGAGCGAGTGAAGAGATAAGTGAACGCCTAGCCAAATGTGGACAGTGACAATGTTACGCTCGTCCATGTAGCATATCTATTTCAACAGGATTCTTGTTCATTTGGATGTCCATTTCTATAATGTAGATAATTCATCCAAATCCAACAAAGCAAAATCTTGGTTAGACTTTGTGTTTTGCCCCACTTCTCTAATATAGCATAATAGCTGTCCTTATATAAGGTCATTTTGACCAGATACATATACATATTAAACGTGTCACAAAGTTTGCCCAAGAAAGTCAATATAAAGTAAAACTTCGATATTATAGATTACCAAACGGATAATCTTTTTGAATACATATTCAATAGCATTACAATATATCTAAGACATTGGCTTTGAGGGAATCGCTGTCATCACAGTCCCTCTCTATATACACACAATGTACCTATATAATCCCTCTCTATATACACACAATGTACCTATATAATCCCTCTCTATATACACACTATGTACCTATATAATCCCTCTCTATATACACACTATGTACCTATATAATCCCTCTCTATATACACACTATGTACCTATATAATCCCTCTCTATATACACACTATGTACCTATATAATCCCTCTCTATATACACACTATGTACCTATATAATCCCTCTCTATATACACACTATGTACCTATATAATCCCTCTCTATATACACACTATGTACCTATATAATCCCTCTCTATATACACACTATGTACCTATATAATCCCTCTCTATATACACACTATGTACCTATATAATCCCTCTCTATATACACACTATGTACCTATATAATCCCTCTCTATATACACACTATGTACCTATATAATCCCTCTCTATATACACACTATGTACCTATATAATCCCTCTCTATATACACACTATGTACCTATATAATCCCTCTCTATATACACACTATGTACCTATATAATCCCTCTCTATATACACACTATGTACCTATATAATCCCTCTCTATATACATACTATGTACCTATACAATCCCTCTCTATATACACACTATGTACCTATATAATCCCTCTATATATACATACTATGTACCTATATAATCCCTCTCTATATACACACTATGTACCTATATAATCCCTTTATATATACATACTATGTACCATGGACTTTGTAATTTGCTAATAGAACATTTAATTACCCTGGAATGCAGAAAATGCAAACGATTGTTGATTTTTATCTCAGGAACATAGATTTGAAGATTTGCTAATCCATATTTCACTCTGTTTCTCAGAAATATAGACTTTGGTGATCTTTTGGCTCCGGAGATCAGAGCCCAACACAAGAACACGACATATGACCTTATGGCTAACATCGTCCATGATGGGGAACCCAAGAAAGGGAAGGGCACATACAGAGTTCATGTCATACATAAGGTGAGTCATTGTTTACATATCATACATAACATGGGTCAGTGTTTACATGTCATACATAACATGGGTCAGTGTTTACATGTCATACATAACATGGGTCAGTGTTTACATGTCATACATAACATGGGTCAGTGTTTACATGTCATACATAACATGGGTCAGTGTTTACATGTCATACATAACATGGGTCAGTGTTTACATGTCATACATAACATGGGTCAGTGTTTACATGTCATACATAACATGGGTCAGTGTTTACATGTCATACATAACATGGGTCAGTGTTTACATGTCATACATAACATGGGTCAGTGTTTACATGTCATACATAACATGGGTCAGTGTTTACATGTCATACATAACATGGGTCAGTGTTTACATGTCATACATAACATGGGTCAGTGTTTACATGTCATACATAACATGGGTCAGTGTTTACATGTCATACATAACATGGGTCAGTGTTTACATGTCATACATAACATGGGTCAGTGTTTACATGTCATACATAACATGGGTCAGTGTTTACATGTCATACATAACATGGGTCAGTGTTTACATGTCATACATAACATGGGTCAGTGTTTACATGTCATACATAACATGGGTCAGTGTTTACATGTCATACATAACATGGGTCAGTGTTTACATGTCATACATAACATGGGTCAGTGTTTACATGTCATACATAACATGGGTCAGTGTTTACATGTCATACATAACATGGGTCAGTGTTTACATGTCATACATAACATGGGTCAGTGTTTACATGTCATACATAACATGGGTCAGTGTTTACATGTCATACATAACATGGGTCAGTGTTTACATGTCATACATAACATGGGTCAGTGTTTACATGTCATACATAACATGGGTCAGTGTTTACATGTCATACATAACATGGGTCAGTGTTTACATGTCATACATAACATGGGTCAGTGTTTACATGTCATACATAACATGGGTCAGTGTTTACATGTCATACATAACATGGGTCAGTGTTTACATGTCATACATAACATGGGTCAGTGTTTACATGTCATACATAACATGGGTCAGTGTTTACATGTCATACATAACATGGGTCAGTGTTTACATGTCATACATAACATGGGTCAGTGTTTACATGTCATACATAACATGGGTCAGTGTTTACATGTCATACATAACATGGGTCAGTGTTTACATGTCATACATAACATGGGTCAGTGTTTACATGTCATACATAACATGGGTCAGTGTTTACATGTCATACATAACATGGGTCAGTGTTTACATGTCATACATAACATGGGTCAGTGTTTACATGTCATACATAACATGGGTCAGTGTTTACATGTCATACATAACATGGGTCAGTGTTTACATGTCATACATAACATGGGTCAGTGTTTACATGTCATACATAACATGGGTCAGTGTTTACATGTCATACATAACATGGGTCAGTGTTTACATGTCATACATAACATGGGTCAGTGTTTACATGTCATACATAACATGGGTCAGTGTTTACATGTCATACATAACATGGGTCAGTGTTTACATGTCATACATAACATGGGTCAGTGATTTACATGTCATACATAACATGGGTCAGTGTTTACATGTCATACTAGAATATACCCTTTCAAGAACCTTTTTGTTTGCCTATGATACACAAATTGACAGGAAAAAGAACGATAAAGATAGAGAAGCACTACAACATGATTTGGATAATCTACAAGCCTGGTCTAAAACATGGCTTTTAAAACTTCACCGTCAAAAATGTAAACTACTTACAATAAAAGGAAAGGCGACAAGAACTTATTTCATGGCTGGAGTGGGAGAAAAGATAATTAAACTTTAGAAAATTTCATCGGAAAAGGATATAGGGGTAATGATGGATGAAGATCTCAGTTTTTCATCACATATACAACAAACCGTTAACAAGACAAACAGTACAAACAATACTTGGGCTTATCTGTAGATCCTTCATACATTTAGATGAAATAACATTTAAACAGCCTTTCAAGGTACTGGTCAGGCCTCACTTGGAATATGCAGCAAGAGTGTAGATTCCAGACAAAACAGAAGACATAAAACCAATAGAAAAAGTGCAGTGTAGAGCAACAGAACTGATACCTGGGCAAAAAGGACCTAACATACAGCGATCATATAAAAAGATTAGGATTTCCATCCCTCACACATACCATAGACTAAGAGGAGATACAATCAATGTGAACAAGATTATGAACAATTTCTTTGATGAAAAAGTAACGTCTGGAATTTTTAACCATGAAATGTCATGAAGAACAAAAGGGCACATTTCTTCCAAACAACATCTCAATCATCATTATAATCATAATTAAGTTATTGTTCGATTACAATCAAATTGGGAAAATACATGTATTTTCGCACTGCAAACTCAGTCGCAACATCCGTTTTCTGATTTGACAAAAATTGGCTGAGCACTGTATATTGGGTTCTGATTGGTCGAAATTCAGTTACTGTTCCATTTCGCTAAAAATAAGTATGAAAGTGTATTTTAGCATTGCAAACTCAACTGCGGCATCCAGTTTGTGATTTGACAACATGGTTGCCGTAAATTGGCTTCTGATTGGTCAAAACTCAGATATTGTTCGATTTCGCTCAAATTTTGTATGGAGGTGTATTTTGTCACTGCAAAATCACCCACATTATCCATTTTCTGATTTGACATAATGGTCACCTATACTGACTTCTGATTGGTCGAAATTTGGTTATTGTTAGATTGTTAGAACTCAACTGCGGCATTCGTTTTCTGATCTGACAAGACAGTCTTCATATACTGGCTTGTGCATGATTGGTCGAAATTCACATATATTTTGATTTTGCTCAAATTTTGTACATGACTTCCGTTCACCTATTTACATTTGTTTTTCTGAATGCGCAGTTAGTTTTGGGGGACATCTGTAATGGCCAGCTCCCATTACAATTAGCACTTGTGCCTTTTATGCCTTCATGTTGATGTATTGGCAAATTTGTTTATTAAATATAAAATTCCGAACTTCGGCTCAAACTTACAATGCTTGACACGTTGAATCATATGCTCAAAGCAGGGACAGGAGAGACATATAATTACGTGTAATTCTTGTTCAAATCCAACTGTGAACAGAAATATCTGATTAAAGGTGTATATCATGATACTTATAATTCCTGCTTGCGATGTATTGTGTAAATTCAAAATGACAAGAATGCGTTATGTGTGAACTCAGACTCATAACTGACACCGTGTTGTCGGTCGACAGCGTAGTTCTGTATATGTTAACTTCTCACTGAAAGGTCCAGATATTACGCTATTTCGGTCTTAGCTATCTTTATTACCGGCTTTTCCAAAAGATAAAGCTGGCCACACTTGAAGTTGGCTTCAGGTAGTGTCATTATCAACTATGTAGACTTACGTTAGGAGATATGTATTTTCAGTATCGACTCGATTTTCAGGATGTCATTTGACTAAATAGCCCCTTTAAGGTGACCATTCCTGTTACTCTGTTGTAAACATTTGAGGGTGACTATATAGCTATCCTCCTAATACTCTGTTGTAATCTAAGGTGCCAATATTCACATACTGATATAATAAATATGCTAGATATTATTTAAAAATGTTGTCCCGATTCTGTGTTCTTATTGGACTTGTTGTTTTGTTTAGGGCTTAGGTAAATGGTATGAGATGCAGGACCTCCACGTGACAGACATCTTGCCCCAGATGATTCCCCTCTCTGAAAGCTACATACAGGTGAGTAGAAAAAATCAGATACTGTTTGACCTTGAAAGCACACTTAAATATTAAAAAATAAAGATGATTGAGGTGCTCTTAGCGATCACGTAGAATCTCAGGTAGAAATCAGATACTGTTTGACCTTGAAAGCACACTTAAATATTAAAAAATAAAGATGATTGAGGTGCTCTTAGCGATCACGTAGAATCTCAGGTAGAAACTAGATACTGTTTGACCTTGAAAGCACGCTTAAATATTAAGAAATAAAGATGATTGAGGTGCTCTTAGAGATCACGTAGAATCTCAGGTAGAAATCAGATACTGTTTGACCTTGAAAGCACACTTAAATATTAAAAAATAAAGATGATTGAGGTGCTTTTAGCGATCACGTAGAATCTCAGGTAGAAATGGTTTATGAACAAAACATGAATCTTTTTCAAACATAAAAGAACAAATTTTGCTTGATACCATAATATTTGGCTAGCACTATGCTTGTTTAAAGGGTTATAAAATTTGTTAAAAAGAATTTGACATCTTTGAGTAACATTTTTAAGCTTGCAGCATGCTTAAATGGCCTTTATCAGCTTTGAAATGTTTAAATATGTTTAGGCATTACTTAAAAAATACATCAGGTTTTTTTTAGTAAATATAGTCTTTAGTGTTTGCTTGCTATCAAGTTCAATTTTAAATGTTGACCTTGACCTGCTTTCAATTGCATGAATAAAACAAGTAAAAATGTTACAACAAAAATTCTTTAGATGTAGAGGTCAATATAATGATATTAAGCATGATTATATAAATTTGACCTTTACCTTCTTTGAAGGTCGTATATATGAGATGATTACCAGCTGAGCAATACAGGTCCATTGGGTCTCTTTAAATAGATAAAATAATTAATGGGAACTCAATGCTGATAATGGAAGTACCCTGTAGATATGCTTCTTTAGATTATCATTTGAGCTTTTGTACAAAAACGTATTTTTGAATATTTTCCAAATAGATTGGTAATGGCTTTTGTTGATAAAGGAATGAATGAGGTAAGGGATGATATATCAGAAACACTACTGGTGTAATACAGTGTCGGTGTGTAGGAGATCTGTTTGAACACATGACAGAAGCCATAAAAACATGGTTGATAGAAGAGTTTACATTGTAAAGGTGATAGATCAAACTAACACATTTCTGTGAAGAGTCTCTTAACGCATAGGTAAACCTGTAAGGTAAATGTTGGGTGTGTATAAATATTGCTTGTCACAGCTAGTAAATGTATAGGGGACCTTTGGTCTATCAGCATTGATCAAACTAATGGTACTCAACATGATGTTAACACCACTAAACATGTACAGAATTTATTTTTAATATTGATTTTGATGCTTTATTTTTAACCTGAGCTGGGAGAAGGGATAAAAATCAATTGATCGGGTTGACATTTACCTGATGCTACAGAGGTAGTATATTTGACATTTACCTGATGCTACAGAGGTAATGATTGGGTTGACATTTACCTGATGCTACAGAGGTAGTGTATTTGACATTTACCTGATGCTACAGAGGTAATGATTGGGTTGACATTTACCTGATGCTACAGAGGTAGTGTATTTGACATTTACCTGATGCTACAGAGGTAATGATTGGGTTGACATTTACCTGATGCTACAGAGGTAGTGTATTTGACATTTACCTGATGCTACAGAGGTAATGATTGGGTTGACATTTACCTGATGCTACAGAGGTAGTGTATTTGACATTTACCTGATGCTACAGAGGTAATGATTGGGTTGACATTTACCTGATGCTACAGAGGTAGTGTATTTGACATTTACCTGATGCTACAGAGGTAATGATTAGGTTGGCATTTACCTGATGCTACAGAGGTAGTGTATTTGACATTTACCTGATGCTACAGAGGTAATGATTGGGTTGACATTTACCTGATGCTACAGAGGTAGTGTATTTGACATTTACCTGATGCTACAGAGGTAATGATTGGGTTGACATTTACCTGATGCTACAGAGGTAGTGTATTTGACATTTACCTGATGCTACAGAGGTAATGATTGGGTTGACATTTACCTGATGCTACAGAGGTAGTGTATTTGACATTTACCTGATGCTACAGAGGTAATGATTGGGTTGACATTTACCTGATGCTACAGAGGTAGTGTATTTGACATTTACCTGATGCTACAGAGGTAATGATTGGGTTGACATTTACCTGATGCTACAGAGGTAGTGTATTTGACATTTACCTGATGCTACAGAGGTAATGATTGGGTTGACATTTACCTGATGCTACAGAGGTAGTGTATTTGACATTTACCTGATGCTACAGAGGTAATGATTGGGTTGACATTTACCTGATGCTACAGAGGTAGTGTATTTGACATTTACCTGATGCTACAGAGGTAATGATTGGGTTGACATTTACCTGATGCTACAGAGGTAGTGTATTTGACATTTACCTGATGCTACAGAGGTAATGATTAGGTTGGCATTTACCTGATGCTACAGAGGTAGTGTATTTGACATTTACCTGATGCTACAGAGGTAATGATTGGGTTGACATTTACCTGATGCTACAGAGGTAGTGTATTTGACATTTACCTGATGCTACAGAGGTAATGATTGGGTTGACATTTACCTGATGCTACAGAGGTAGTGTATTTGACATTTACCTGATGCTACAGAGGTAATGATTGGGTTGACATTTACCTGATGCTACAGAGGTAGTGTATTTGACATTTACCTGATGCTACAGAGGTAATGATTGGGTTGACATTTACCTGATGCTACAGAGGTAGTGTATTTGACATTTACCTGATGCTACAGAGGTAATGATTGGGTTGACATTTACCTGATGCTACAGAGGTAGTGTATTTGACATTTACCTGATGCTACAGAGGTAATGATTGGGTTGACATTTACCTGATGCTACAGAGGTAGTGTATTTGACATTTACCTGATGCTACAGAGGTAATGATTGGGTTGACATTTACCTGATGCTACAGAGGTAGTGTATTTGACATTTACCTGATGCTACAGAGGTAATGATTGGGTTGACATTTACCTGATGCTACAGAGGTAGTGTATTTGACATTTACCTGATGCTACAGAGGTAATGATTGGGTTGACATTTACCTGATGCTACAGAGGTAGTGTATTTGACATTTACCTGATGCTACAGAGGTAATGATTGGGTTGACATTTACCTGATGCTACAGAGGTAGTGTATTTGACATTTACCTGATGCTACAGAGGTAATGATTGGGTTGACATTTACCTGATGCTACAGAGGTAGTGTATTTGACATTTACCTGATGCTACAGAGGTAATGATTGGGTTGACATTTACCTGATGCTACAGAGGTAGTGTATTTGACATTTACCTGATGCTACAGAGGTAATGATTGGGTTGACATTTACCTGATGCTACAGAGGTAGTGTATTTGACATTTACCTGATGCTACAGAGGTAATGATTGGGTTGACATTTACCTGATGCTACAGAGGTAGTGTATTTGACATTTACCTGATGCTACAGAGGTAATGATTGGGTTGACATTTACCTGATGCTACAGAGGTAGTGTATTTGACATTTACCTGATGCTACAGAGGTAATGATTGGGTTGACATTTACCTGATGCTACAGAGGTAGTGTATTTGACATTTACCTGATGCTACAGAGGTAATGATTGGGTTGACATTTACCTGATGCTACAGAGGTAGTGTATTTGACATTTACCTGATACTACAGAGGTAGTGTATTTGACATTTACCTGATACTACAGAGGTAGTGTATTTGACATTTACCTGATACTACAGAGGTAAAGATCAGATTGACATTTACCTGATACTACAGAGGTAGTATATTTGACATTTATCTGATACTACAGAGGAAGTGTATTTGACATTTACCTGCTACTACAGAGGTAGTGTATTTGTCATTGACCTGATGCTACAGAGGTAGTTTATTTGACATTTACCTGATACTCCAGAGGTAGTGTATTTGACATTTACCTCATACTACAGAGGTAGTGTATTTGCCATTTACCTGATACTACAGAGGCAGTGTATTTGACATTTACCTGATGCTACAGAGGTAGTGTGTTTGTATTTGCACCTACAACAAAATACTTAGGAAATTGAAGCTTTACCTTTAAAAGTGATGTAGTCACAGTGCAGAGTAATGGACTATCACTTTTGATTCACGTTGTATACAGTGGCATCATGTAACCTCTAACCCTGGTGTAGGTCACTTACTCTGTTACGACATCTGGCCCATAGTCCCCTGTCTATCAACAGTTGACAGTTTCCATTTGTTTAGTCAATTCTAGGTCACAGGGATCAAATTTTTGAAATCTTTAAGCCAGTTCTCAAGAACAATAAAGCGTTTGGTCAGTTGGTATTTGGCCAGCACTAAATAACCTAAACACTGACTTAATCAGAGCATTGTGAGTTTTTCTGTATGCACAAATACAGGCAAAGTTAGAATAGAAGTAAAGTTTATCTTCTTCTGTTGGATTTATACTTAATATGTATATATTTCAGATATTTGAGTTGAGGAAAGACATCCCCAATCCAACATTTGGTATGGCCGCTGAAGACCAGCCACCTCGGCCAGAGTTCATTGCTTCTATGGAAACATAAATGTTGGACTTAATATCAAGATTTACCAGTTCCATCATGTGGTAAATGACTTACCAATCACATTGTGTGTTACAGAGAGTTTTGGTAAATGTCTTACCAATCACATCGTGTGTTACAGAGAGTTTTGGTAAATGACTTACCAATCACATCGTGTGTTCCAGAGAGTTTTGGTAAATTGCAAGAAAATAGCATGTATTGATGTTTCCTGAACTGTGAAGTTACAATGAGTCTGAAGATTATGTGAAAGGAAAAACTGTTGGAGATCATTATGCAAAATACTAACACAGTTATCCTGAAGAATACTTAAGTAAGACAAAAACCTGCCAAGAAATACGTAACTCCTTCATTGATGAAGTTTTGTAGTTTAAATCCTTTATTTCTGTGCGTGGCTTTAGATACACATACATTGTACACAGATACCTGTGTCAGTTAGTGTTTCCTGGGAATAACATTACTTTAAATCATTGTACACAGATTCCTGTGTCAGTTAGTGTTTCCTTGGAATAACATTACTATAAATCATCGTACACAGATACCAGTGTCAATTAGTGCTTCCTGGGAATAACATTACTTTAAAGCATTGTACACAGATACCAGTGTCAATTAGTGCTTCCTGGGAATAACATTACTTTAAATCATTGTACACAGATACCTGGGTCAGTTAGTGTTTCCTGGGAATATCATTACTATAAATCATTGTACACGGATACCTGTGTCAGTTAGTGGTTCCTTGGAATAACATTGCTATAAATCATTGTTCACAGATACCTGTGTCAGTAAGTGTTTCCTGGGAATAACATTGCTATAAATCATTGTTCACAGATACCTGTGTCAGTAAGTGTTTCCTGGGAATAACACTACTATAAATCATTGTACACAGATACCAGTGTCAATTAGTGCTTCCTGGGAATAACATTACTTTAAATCATTGTACACAGATACCTGTGTCAGTAAGTGTTTCCTGGGAATAACATTCCAATAAATCATTGTACACAGATACCAGTGTCAATTAGTGTTTCCTGGGAATAACATAACTATAAATCATTGTACACATATACCTGTGTCAGTTAGTGGTTCCTTGGAATAACATTGCTATAAATCATTGTACACAGATACCTGTGTCAGTTAGTGTTTCCTTGGAATAACATTGCTATAAATCATTGTACACAGATACCTGTGTCAGTTAGTGTTTCCTGGGAATAACATTACTATAAATCATTGTACACAGATACCAGTGTCAATTAGTGTTTCCTGGGAATAACATTACTATAAATCATTGTACACAGATACCAGTGTCAGTTAGTGTTTCCTGGGAATAACATTACTATAAATCAGTGAATAGTTATAGGAAAGAATGTAAGTTGTGTTCAATGTAAACATGTCCGGGATTTTTGTTGCCTTGTAGAATGCTAAAAAGTGTTTTACTGGAAGTAAAAGAAATATTTCTAAAACAACAGTCTGCGTTTGTAGATGTGGATGAAAGAAAGTCTTCCTAGATCTAAACCATTAAACCCCTCCATCTCAACAAAGTTATGGGGGTCAATCTGTTGTCTGTCTATCCATGGGTACAAGCTTGTCCGGACAACTCCTAAACTTAGAAACCAATTTCAACAGAACTTTATGGGCATAATACATACATCATGTTGTTATACACCAGATATTTATATTTCAGTTTGATTTTTTCCCCCCAAAGTTAAGAGTCCTTTTTTTACTAAGTCATTTCAAACCCTGTTCAGACAAATTTCGAAATTTATTTGACAAATTTAACATTAACTTTTTGGAAGTGAAATATAAGGAATATATCAGCATCAAATGGCCAACTTTTTTATATATTTGATTCAAGATAGCCACCTCTGTGAGACATTAAAAACTTCAATGGTTGAAGGGGGGTGGGGCATTAAAAACTTCAATGGTTGAAGGGGGAGGGTTAGTTTGCTATGGCTCACAGTTTAAGTTATACAAGTTAATAATTTTGAACAGTACAAGTAAACATGGCTCGTAAAAAAATCATAAGGGTATTTATAAAAAAAAAATATGACAGATGAAATCCAGTCTGACTTTACATATTTTAGATCAATGAATTTTGCAAATGAAATGTGATGTTTTCTTATGGCAATGTTTTCATTTGATTTGGATTTTTTTTAATGTTTTTTTGTTTGTTTTTTTAAACTTTATTTAATGAGCTAATGGACTGGTTTGGGCCTTTTTTAGCCCCCAAATTCATCAAAATTAAAAATCTGCTATAGAACTTTCAAACGAATGTTTCTTTAATTTTGAATACTTCCCCAGTACTATTATGTAAATATTTATTTGTGTTTTCAATTTTGGCTGCTAAGGTAACCAGGTCATATTTGCATAAATTATTGAAACTTGATTATTTAGTCAATTTTGACAGGTTTTCACCTAGTTTTTCTCTTAGCTACCATAGAGCGCACTCTTGAACAAACTTTATATTTCTCCTAAAGATGTATTACAGGTGCCTACACATTATCCTTTGATATTAAGTTTGTTCAAGCATGCGCTCTATAGTTTCTAGGAGAAAAACTATGCAAAATATCCCAATATTCACTGAATATTCAAATTTTTCTAATTTATGCAAATTTGAACTTGTTTCCATGGCAACAATAATTAGAAATATAAATAAATATTTTCATAATAGTATTTAGGAAGTATTCGAAATTAAAGAAACAGTCATTTCAAAGTTCACTGAAAGGTTTTGAATTTTGATGCATTTGGGGGCCAAAACAGGCCCAAACCATACATAGTCCTTTTGATACTAAATTATTATATTTGCAGAATAAAAGGTGTATACCGGTACATCTTTGTTAATCATTTGGGTTAAAAATCTTTGTTATATTGACTTTATATTACTGGTAACTTCTTTCTTTATACAAACTGAATTATTTAAAATTTCTTTTATGATTTTTCATCTGTACTGTCATTTCACTGATGAAGTGGTTTGAAATCTTAATTAGCAGATGTTTTAAAGTAGAATACATGTATGTGGTATGGCATGGGTGAATCACTGCTAAACGCTATTGAAAGGGTTTTAATTTTACAGACAGATGAATTAAATAAATGTTTTGTAAATTTCAATAATGTTGTTGGTAATTGATTTGTTTGACAAACACACAGCTAATACTGTTTAGTATTAGAGAATATATAATTTTTTTTATTACATAATATATAATGTATTAGAGGTCTTGAATCTTGATCAGTTTCATTGGTGATATTAGGGATATAAAAGGTACAGATACACACTGTGAGCATGAAGAAATGAATACATCCATGCTACTATGATCGGTTTCAGCATATTAACCTCCTCAGGGACTTAGTCCCTGGGTCATATCTTTGGGACAGGTTATTCCCATTTCTTAAACTAGAAATATTTTGCTGGACATTAAGAGATACATCCATGCTACAAGGTTTGGCCTCAATAGTCTGGCTTCGACCCTAGGAACTCAATTGCAGGTTTAAAACACTAACAGCCCAATTGCTAGGTATGAAGGGACAAATACATCCATGCTACAAGGATTGGCCTCGATAGTCTGGCCTCGCCCCTAGGAACTCAGTCGCAGATTTAAAACACTGTAACAGCTGAGATCCCTACAAACTCACTATGTGTGCAATCAATTGCTGGGTATGAAGGGACAAATACATCCACCCCCCAAGGATTGGCCTCGATGGTCTGGCCTCGCCCCTAGTAACTCAGTCGCAGGTTTAAAACACTAACAGCCCAATTGCTAGGTATGAAGGTACAAATACATCCATGCTACAAGTATTGGCCTCGATAGTCTGGCTTCGCCCCTAGGAACTCAGGCGCAGGTTTAAAACACTAACAACCCAATTGCTAGGTATGAAGGTACAAATACATCCATGCTACCAGGATTGGCCTCGATAGTCTGGCATCGCCCCTAGGAACTCAGTCGCAGATTTAAAACACTGTAACAGCCGAGATCCCTACCAACTCACTATGTGTGCAATCAATTGCTGGGTATGAAGGGACAAATACATCCATGCTACAAGGATTGGCCTCGCCCCTAGGAACTCAGTCGCAGGTTTAAAACACTAACTGCCGAGATCCCTACAAACTATGTGTGCAATTAACTTCTGGAAATTAAGGGACAAATACATCCATGCTACAAGGATTGGCCTCGATAGTCTGGCCTCTGGATATGAAGGGACAAATACACTGGTGCTTCTATGATTGCTCTTTGGGTCCCTCTGACCCCTTGGGACTTGGTCCTTATTTTACATTTAAAGGAATAATCTAATTCGGTTTAAAGGATCCCTGGACCAAGGAACCAGTATATACGTAGGGGTCCTGTCCAATAGGGAGTATATACAGACAGTTTATAAAGACCTCTCAGCATGTTCTAGTTCTACATCTATATATAACATACAGGGATACTGGGTTATCAAAATTCCATATTTTTGAATTAGCTTGTAAAATGTTCATATATGACAATTAGGTTACTGCTTAAAATAACTGTTTCTATCTGATATAAAATAACTATTTCTATCTGATATAAAATAACTGTTTCTGTCCGATATACATTTTTTACTATTTCATTATAGGATTGTACAGTTGTCCCTGATACAGGATTGAATCTTCTGATCAATACAAAAAGACAATAAAACTTCTCTTATTCTTTAGGTTGTCCACTTTCTGGACACATGATTTATTTTCTGGTGTTGTAGACCTAGGACATTATAATGTATTATTTGAGGTTTGTATTTAAAGATCTAGTGCATAATTGAGTATTTATATGGCATTGAAATTACACAACTAGGATGTGATTGATGTTTTTCTTGAGTCAGTCCTCAGCATAGCTTTATTGCATATTTTTATTTTGTTTGAAGTGCTTATTATTTCTCTCAGTCGGTGAGTCAGCCATCTTGAAAATGAAATGATGAATGGTGAAGTTTTATAGGAGAACAATAGGTTACCTGGCTGGTGACATTGGTCCATACTGGTATCATCGCTCATGTCGACAACGTTCATTATAATCAATATATAGGATTACCTGGCTGGTGACATTGGTCCATACTGGTATCATCGCTCATGTCGACAACGTTCATTATAATCAATATATAGGATTACCATCACAAAGGAACTCGAGCTAGAAAGTCCAGACATGAAATTACCTTAGAATTTTACTTATTGAAAAAAGCTCTACCACAATTTAATGAATTGGGTACTTACTGCGATGTTTGTTTGATATATGTACAAGTACTTAGTGACGCCGATGACAATGAAATGCTGTTACTGCCTTTGTCATCAACTGTCGTTTGACAACACAAGACCGCAGTGTTCTGAATAGTCTGCTGAATTCAATAGACCTTTCTTTGGAAGCCTTTAACAAACTTTTCTTACATTCCTTCACAGTTGTGGAGATTTCATGACGCAACAGCTTTTGTTTTTGATGATGTGGAGAAAATTAACAAAAAAAAACATTTATTGCTGGGATGACTTCTGATACTCCAGGCAATGAGAGGAAATGATCTAAATA